GCTCTTCCATACTTTTATTTCCTCCGCAGTTTCTACCGTTCGTCGCCCGTCGGATCGCGATCTACGAATTCCAATGGCAGGGTCGCGCGCACGTTTCTCGTCTCGTCCGACGGGAGCCGCGTAGACAGGTTAGGTACACGGCCGATCTGAATTTCCTCGGGCGATCGGTGCGTCATCTGTCTGGCTTCACGTATGACTACGCAATTCGATATCTCGCTCGCGACAAGCCCCTTCGAATAAGTGTTCGCGTCTCTACTCGTGTATGCGCATATAACGTGAAGAAGCGAGCGATAAGGCACCTTTAAGGATGGGAAATACGGGAAATATTCTGGATCTGGGATACGTGTGCATCTTAGGAGAAAGGGGTAACGGTTGGAGAAAAACCATTCGGGAATCTGGCTGATGTAATGCACGTCTCGAATGGACTGTCTTTTCCGTGAATATGAATCATACGATATTTTACACTGAACAGTCGGTATTATCGGGCACGCTTCCCACGAGAGCAATTTTAAGCTGTTTAAACGGTTGGATTTGCATTAATATGATTTATATTCGGATTATGATACGAATGTAATTCTTTCATTGCTTTTGAGGTTATATTTCACACGTTTGTTTTGAATATTCATTCCTCCCCTTAATCAAAAATAATGAGGTTTATTCATATTTTTTTAGAAGCGGGTGATTTTGAGGCTTCGTCACCGATATCGTCGCGTGCCTCATACATAACCTCAATTTTCACGAGGCGGTTATACGTTAACAGATGACTATCTGTCTTTCAGAATTGAGTCTATGATTGCTCAAAGCATCGTATTATAAAAACTATGCGAATCGTTTTATATTATATAATATTAATTAATCTTGCATTGAAAACAGGACCTAATTAAAACTGTAATTTTTAATAATTTTGATACATGTATTATATTCACATATCATTCATCTTTTGGTTTGAAAAATTCAGTATTTTTTAGAAACTACCCAAAAATTTCGCAGAAATTGAGATTTTATTATTTAAAAAAGAGTAAATATAGGAGAATTTTATTAACTTTTTACAGCAATTTTTTTTTTTTTTGTAAATAGGATCTATTTAAAACACAAATGGTCTGCTGTAATAGTTGACATAACCAAAGTTAAATATTGAAATTTGTTAAATGCAACAAAAATTGTTAAATTGAGTAAAAATTCAGGAAAGTAAAGTAGTAGAATAAGAAATAAAAGAATTTTCTTAAATAAAAGAATCTTCTTAAATAAAAAAATCTTTTTACATAAAAGAATCTTCTTAAATAAAAGAATCTTCTGAAATAAAAAAATTTCCTTAAATAAAAGAATCTTCATCTTCTTAAATAAAAGAATTTTTTTAACTGAAAGAGTCTTTTTAAATAAAAGAATCTTCTTAAATAACAGTATCTCCTTAAATAAAAATATCTTCTTGAATAAAAGAATCTTCTTAAATAAAAAAATGTCCTTAAATAAAAGAATCTTCTTAAATAAAAGAATTTACATGTTATATTGTACTGATTATTGATCAAATTTTCTTTTTTAGGTTGTTGTGTGTGAAGTATCTATGGCGACTGAGAATGGTGGAGTGGATAACTGTTGGTCTATAAGGAGAGAATTTTATTGCGGATGATGATTTGGCATGTATGGATGATATGGCATATAAAGGTGACTTGTACCGTTACGCACTATCGACCAGTCACGCCGTCGACCAAGGCATTGGCAACTAGATTTATACTGTATTCAAAAGAATACATGAGGGCAGTGCGTCGCTGAAAACATAAGCGTCGCGTAAGTGACAAACTGGCGCCGTTTATTCTCGAGGTTTTTAGTAACTTGTTGACCAATTTGTAATTATTATTATTAATTTATCAATATTTTTTGATTTTTTTATTACTCTAAAAATCAAAGTAAGCATTTCAGGTCTAAATGGAGAATTTTTGTTAGATTTATTTTTACTAATTCTTAAGTAGTAGTGAATAATTAGTATTGGATTCCTATTAGACATTATTTTATTTTATTTCACTATTACAAATTGTATATCAATTTGGAATTGCATTTTTCTAAGTTTACACATGTAGAGAAGAATTGTGACTAATATTTGCAATTTGGCTTCATAAATACAATAAACATGAGCTAGTATTTTTCCATTGAGAAAGAATAGAAAAATAAAATAGTTTATATTTGATTTATATTCAACAGAAATTATAATTTTCAGTCAAATTATAGCAACTGCTATATGCTATGATGCGCGATTCTTTCACGACTGGTTGCCTATCAAATTAGTATTGGGTAACTGATTTCAATGTGGAGAGCAACTGGATGCTTGGTGGTAACTCTAAACCAGTGTGCTATAGACTTTGGTATCCATGGACTAACTCCCAAATGTTGGACAGTTTCATATAATATTCCAACGACTAACTTTGACTGACTGCTGCTGAAGGAATATTTAGCATGACTGAATTCAGAGCTCCTGGAAGTCATGAATGCCTGTTTTAAATATCTCTAGAGGTACATAGAACTCTCTCCCTAAGTGCTATTTCACAACATTTTTTGGTGAAAATACTGATTATTTTATATCCATTTTCACAAAAATGGTATATTGATTGATTTTCATCAAACTTAGGTACTTTTTGGTCATCATATATTTAGAGTATGATATCATTATCTTACTTCTTAAATGACTTTGGTTGGGAGAAAGTGGGCAATATCTAGTTTTAAAACTTTAATAGAATTTTATTAAAATTAAAACTCTTTTATGAATCATTTTTAGTTAACAGTCTGAAAGTAGCAAGTTTGTGATGTCTACACATAAGTCCTAAATATATTGTGATTAACTGAGATTTTAATACATGAGTATCCTCTCTTTATTGACATGTCACCAATTTGGAAATTTAAAAAAATATTAAAGTAAGATGTTCATAAATATGACAATATTAGGATGTATATTGTTATATACATTTAACAAATATTAATAAAACTTGAATATTATCTGACACAATGCATTCTCAAGGTATAGGATGCCCTATAGTGTCCCTAAATTCACACAAGATTTGAATTTTGCGCTATTTGCGCGGTAAAGTGTTGCTAACCTGAAAAAGGGCAATGTGGCAGCTGACAGTTTAGAGTTATTAAAAATAAAGCATTGCATGAACGAACAACGCGTCTTCATTGTCGAGCAATATTTATAATTTTTAATTAAAAACCTGGGTTTTATATCAAAATTACTTCTTGAATGAATTTTGAAACTCCCAATATTCATATATATAATGTATTATAAAATTCATATAGATATAATTATTACTATTATGTTAGTTAATCATGTCATATTGTGATGAATCTATTTTTTAAGAAAATTTTTCCATTTCATCCTTCAAATATTTTTTCTCAAATTTCTTTGGACATATTCAATCTTTATTCTTTCATTTTCTTGCTAATATTCACCTTTGAACTGCCTTAGAAGTGTATATACGGTATCCTGGACCATACAAGCGTGAACAGATTTTCTTCCAATTTTTCTTTCTTAGTATTTTTCTACTGCTTTATTTCTGTGCTTCTATTATCATCCCTCACTTCCAAAATCTTATCTAAAGCCAGTAATTTTATATCTAAAATTGGTTTTGCTTTGTCACTGTCAAATCTATGTTGGACTAACTGTAAATCCCTCTTTTTGTTAAAAAATAAATTAGGATTAAAAAAAATTTGTCTTAATTTTTCATCTATTTTAATATAAACAAAATAGTCAAAGAAAAGTTCATTTGTGTTATGTGAGTTCATTTTAATTTACAGTAAAGTGAAATTAACTATTGTTGTATTATAGACATCTTATTATATCCTCATGAAAGTTGTGATAAGAAAGAAATTTAATAAATGTAATTAACATTGCAAATACTTCAAATTAAAGTAAGGACTATAATATCCACTTCATTTCTATGAATATGTAACCATATGTAATCATCCAATATGTAACCATAATTAAATTACTCGTCCAATTATTAAACAAATTCAAAAAAAAGTCAATAATTAATTTTTGTTACTTGACTTAGCGTTTATTAATTCTGTTCATCACACTTTAACAACATAACCTTTAGCAAAGCCAAATATATTAAAAATATTTAATTACATAACATTTAGGCAACCCTTAATTCAACAAAATTAACCAGTAAATTAAATCAATTAATAATTTATATAATAAAATAAATTTATTATATAAACTAATATAGATATAATATTTATATAAATTAAAAAAAAGGAAGAACATGACATTTATTATATTATTATTTTTACTACGCAACATTATATTTGTTATATACATACATTAAATTCAATAGATACAATTTTCATTAAAAATGTAATATTTTATGAACATTATTTAATTAAAATATATTTAATTATTTAATTACATTTACAAAACATGTATGAATTATAAATAAATAAATAAAATAAATTATATACTAATTATATATAAATAAAATAAAATAAATAAATTATAAATTGTTTTTATAGTTTCTCCCTTTTTTGAAAATAACCTTGAATAATATCTTTTTAATTTCCATGTATAACATAATCTATAGAATCGTTAGCTGTTCACCAGTGCACGAATAAGTCTGACCATAAGCAGACTCTTACTACTGCGGCCTATCCTAAGACATCACGTTTCATTTCCTGCACGTAGTATATTCACCTCTGAAGTTCTCTAATCGATATTTCAAGAAGAAAACTTGAAAGAACGTTATCTTACAAAAACTTTCATAACGCTCTATGATTTATTGCAGAAGTTGAAAACGCAACATGAATGAAGAAAATATTGAACAAAGCTGTATTTACATTACTCCATGTAATGTAACTCAATATGATTATTCAAATTTGAATTATTTATGTAACCATAATTTTTCAATTGCCAAGTAACAAAGTGGACATTTGAGACAAGCAAGAGATTTTAATTATTCTTTTCATTATTGCAGTGGGTTAATAAAATTCTAATTAAATTTTGCACAAGGCAATGTAATTTAAGAATTTAATTAAATTATTATTTAAAAACGTTCAATTTGTAAATTATATCATTAAATTTAAATTATTATTATTCAATAAAATTCTAATTAAATTTTATACAGGTGAATGTAATTTAAAAATTTAATTAAATTTCATATTTATTTTTATTTTCTCAATTTTGGTCAATATCACTTGAATATTATGTACTTAAATACTTGTAATACTAATATTTATGTGAGTACATAATTTATTATTTAACTATATAAAAATATATAAATTTTAAAAAAGAATATTTTAAATTTAATTGTTAGATTATAATTAAATTTGAAAAATTATTCTTAAAAGTACTTCACAAGTTTGATAAAGTATTATACATTATAAATTTATACTTTGCAGTGTTTTTCCAGTTGGAACTAAGTTTTTGTAATTTAATAAATAAATAAATCATGATCCTGGAAATTATGAAAAACCTAAGAAACACAGTATGAAAGTCGATAGTAAATAAGAATATACCAGAAAAATGTTGTCATTCAATATATAGGGTGGACCACATAACATGACTACTTGAATTATTTTCGTTACAACTTAAATTATTACAATCTTTCTGTAACAATTATTACAATTATTTTAATAATGTACAGAAACAACCAATATATTATATATAACAAAATTTGCAGTCAATTTTGAAAATTTATTTAAGAAAAAGTCAGAAAAGGAGGAGTGCACTATGCATAATGCTATGTCAAAATATGTATTAGTATTTGGATTTCAAATAATTACTAACAAGTGTGAACTAATAAAATAAATACAAATACCTTCCAATTATATGTAAAAACAAAATATAATTCTTTTTATTCTTATAATCTAATAAAAATCGATTTCTTTGAGATTTTTTTCTAAGGAAACCATGATACGTTTTCGCATACAGTCTTTACACTCTGATTTACTAATATTTGGAGAATATTTCCAATTTTTATTTCACTAAATTAATGAAAATTTTGAAAGTTATATAGCCTTAAGTAAATCATGTTTTTAAAAACACGTTCGAATGGCTGACATGATTGCGGACGATCTGGTTATCAGAAACGAAAAAACCATAAAGCATCTTAATTAGTACAAATACAGCTATACCACGAACCACCAAAACAGCGAAATTTCGAAAATTAAAAACGTGGCAGCATTTTAAACTTTAAATATCGATTTTCCTTGTGCTTTTCGTCCTTTGAGTGGTAAACAAAAATAGAAAAAAGCATTAGATTTTGAAATCCGTGGTTCACATGATAAAGATGCATCTGATGAAGATTTCCTTTAAATTTCAAGTAGATTGGTTTACTAAAACGCGAGATATCCTGTCAGCCAGATCAAAAAATACGGTTTCGAGATAAACGCGTTTGAAGTTTTCGTTACCCATTGTGTAATGCCTGTACGCCGCACTTTAAACATTTATAACTTCGCCAATTTCACGAATTCAATCAAATCCTTTTACACAGATATTTTCGACAACATAAACTTTCAGAAAATATAAAAAAAAGAAATTGAGTTTTTTAAGCCGGTTTACAAGAATACCCCTTTAATTTAAAATTATGTCATTTTCCTTTCTGCAAATTTTTGGCTAATAAGGTAATCAATTTATTATTAATCATAACATGAGTATGTGTATTACAACTCTTAATTCTAAGAGCTGCCATAAATTCTCATCAAATATCAATGTACCTTATAGCCAGCAAACATCATTGAACTTCAACACAGTGTGTGGCAGTAACTATGAAAGTGGTCTAAGTAAAAATTTCAAAATTTGGAAAGAAACGATTTTATCGTTTATCTCGTGCCGCATTCATTTGCGTTGCAATTTAATAAAATTATTTTTGGCAAAATAGTAAAGAATTAAACTGTTACATTGTAATTAAATTCTTTAATTTGTGATATATCAAGGGCGCGAAATTTAAAATATTAACTACTCTAACTTAACCTAACCAAACCAAACCCTGAATTAGACGAACTTAACCTCTTAGTCACGGCTGAATATTGCATGTGGCTGTTTCTGTACGGCAGAGTTCAAAGCGAATTATGCTAATTAATAATAAACGATACATCACTGCAACGTGTGAAGGACAATGCTGTTCTAAAAAATTATAACGATACGAATCGCCATGTTAAAAAGACCATCTGGTAAATTAAAAGTAAATGATTTAATTATTTCCTTAAATGAAAAGCATCAATTCATACTTGACACTAGCGTATCAAAAATAAAGATTATATATTCTGTCTGTATATTGTTAACTTTTGTAAAACGTTGTGAGGGCAAGAAAAGTGCGAAACGAATCATATGAAAACGATCATGTAATTCAAATGGTGAGCGAGGGCGCCACTAGAGTGAGCCACTGTAATGGCGCGTCGTTCAGGAAGATGGCGTCCGCGAACGCCACTATAATGGCGCATCGTGCCTAAGAGGTTAATTCTTTGAATAAGAAAGTGTGCTAAAAAAAAAAAAA